CCGCTGGCGCACTGCTACAGTGCGCCGCTTGGGAGTGCGGCGGCGCTCCCACCGAGGGGTTGGATCCCACATACAGGCCGGTGCGCTCACTGGCTGAGCGCAGTGCGGGCGACACCAAGCCAAGTGTTGCAATCCCCTTACCGGTCACGAAAATGACAAAAAAAAAAAAAAATATATATATATATATATATATTTTATATATATAATATAAATATAAATATAAATATATAAATATATATATATATATTTGAAGGATTATTTTGCAGAAGAGGTATCAGCCCTTTGCTGTGTACATATTTCCAGAAGATAGTGCTAGCCCCAGGCAATATAAAATACTGAACAGGAAATTTAGGTTGAGTCTAACAGAGACTATGGAATGGGAGGCATCGCCAAATTTATTTCTCCATCCACTTGCCACTCAGAGGTTGGAGCTGCTCCTTGAGTCTTTGCTTAATTCTCTGAGATTGTCCTAGGTAACCTCAGTGAGTCCTTCAAGATTCTCAAATCTATTAGGCTCGTTCTTGGCCAAATGTATTATTAGGACTCGTGACCTCAGCAGCAGGAACCCCGGCTAACTATGGGGGGAATGGATGGACTTCCTTGGAAGAGCAAGGAGGGAGCCAGCCATGTGAAACCTGTAGGACTCTCTCTTCAATTCTCACCTCCACTTGGCTTAGTTGACTTTATTCACTCTTACCATAAAACAACTTTCATCATTTATCAGAAAACATAGCCAATGGCAGTTCTGGACCCTTTTATTATTATTATTTTTTAATCTAATGGTTTCTGTCACTGGAGATGGACTGCCTCTTTGGTATTAAGGCAAAACAAAATAAAACAAAAAATAACTTCACAGACAAGGGTACAGATTGACCCAGTTTAAGAGACTGCACCCCTTTTATCACCATCAGTTGGGGTCAGGGGAATGCGGTTAGTTAGAAAATGTCAAGTCTCATGGGGATAATATGGATAAAGCAGAAAAAGAAGCATACTAAATAGTGTCCCCTACCCCAAGGCAAAATGACAGGAAGCTGGTCCTCAAAAGGTGTTAAGGACATCATAAGTTTAAATTCTTTTTGAGTGAAACGTATGCAAATTATGGACAAATTTCAAGACTCAGGAAACTTCCATGTTGATGACAGTAATCTTTCTGAGAAAACTTGAAAGAAATATTCACTAAGGTTGAGTATTTGGCACCCATAAGGTGCTCAGCACTTAGCTAGGTGCGAAGCTGGGTACCGAACCACAGGCCTTGGCTCCTATTTTCAAAGATTTAACAATTCTGTCGTATTTGAACTGAGTAGCATTCTGAGAACCATTTTAAATATAATTACTTAGAAGATTAGCTCTTCTCAATTATCTCATTTACAAATAGATCTCACATCAAGCATAAACCAAAACTAGCTTCTTAATAAAACTCTCAGTTGTTCAGAAAGAAAGCAGAATGCAGAAATCTATACTCACTTGTGTATCCATTCATTCATTCATTCACTCACATGTACTTCTACGTGCTCACCACTGTTTTAAACATTGAGGTAATAAATGTGGTAGAGTCATGATTTCTTTCCCTCAATTTCTTACCTGCTGTTCTCTCTGCCTAGAATATTCTTTACAGCACTCCTGCCCCCCACTGCCATTTTTTAATGTAATTTCTTACCCAATGTGTCTTCTTTAGTAGAATGAGAGTCCCATGAGGACAGGGCCATGTTTGTTTTGTTCACTACTATACCTGGAGTAGTGCCTCAAAAATAAGAACTAAATTAACATTTATTTGGCAGATATTTATTGAGCATCTGTGTGTCAAGCATTGTTCTTGGCACTGAGGCTACAAAAGAGGGAAATAAACAGATATGGTCCCTGCCCAGAAGGAGCTTACGTGTTAGTGCTGATCTAATGACAGAAGAGTATCTAGCTCATACTCCTCATTTCCCAGGTGACCAAATGGATGCTGGATAGACTAAGTGACCTGAATCAAGCCACACGGAGAATTTGAGTGGCACAGATTTGTTTGTTCATTCATTTAAAAAATTTCCTCTTGTATACTACTTCTTAATACCTATTTTACAAACCAAAGGTGGGTGTGTGAACTTGTGTTTCTTCAGTCCAGAATGGCAGCAGGACATTGAGGGCACCATGAGCTCAGTGAGTGGAGACAAACATGTAGAGCACGTGAGTTTTATGTGCACAGAATGTTAAAGGTTAAGTCAGTAACAAACAGGCATACAGCTTTGGTAATTTCTTGCCTAATTCCATCATAGGCCCTGCAAGAGTGACCATCATGTCTTTTATTGTTGCTTGTGGAGCCCTGGCATCTGGAGTCCCTGGGAAAGTGAAGGTGGAGGCATCAAGGGCTACCGTGTTGTTAGGGTTTAGTCAAGAACTGCTGAAAAAACTTAGTTCTGAGCTGGGAGTTGCAAGAAGGGACTAACATGGACCATTTTTGAGAAAGTAGAAGGGCTTTTCAAGAGAGGACATATAAAAAAGGCAAGGGGGATTTTTACAATAGGTGCATACGAACATCTAAGAAATAGCTCACTAGAATAGAGAGGACAGTCGTTCCCTCATATCTATGGGGGACTGGTTCCAGGACTTCCCACATACCAAAATCTACACATGCTCAAGTGCCTAATATAAAATGGCATGTAACCTATGTATATAAAATTTGATTATCTACACAATCTTCCCATGTACTTTAAATCATCTCTAGATTACTTATAATATCTAATGTGACATAAATGTTATGTAATAGTTGTTATACTGTATTGTTTAGAAAATAATGACCAAAAAACAAAAAAAAGTATGTACAAGATGTAATTTAATTACAAATATCTTCCATCTGCAGTTGGTTGAATTGCAGATGCACAACATGTTGGCCCAGCTGTACACAGAAATATTGAATAATGGAAAATATTATGGGATAGGTATGGGAGACTGGAATGGAATTCAGACCTTGGAAATGGAGGAAATGGTTATTTACAAGGAAGGAGAGAGAGCTAGGTTTAGATTTCAGTTGGATTACTAATTATATGTGAATCCAAACTAGTTCTTCTTAGAGCCTGAGGAGTCGTCCCATGGGAACTTTGCTGGGGTTCTCTTTCTTCCAGTTTGGGAAACTGCTCTAGAAGGATATGGAGAAACTCTCTCACCCATTTATACTCATGCAACACAAGCCAGTCTCTGGATGGGCTGTTACATATTAGGTTACAATGTGTGTCTCCCCAAATGAAAGCTGACACTTCAGAAGCATATAAGCAAGAAGCCAATAGCTGCCACCGTCCCATAGGGAATAGCAGAGCCTGCGAATGATTCCTTGTGACTCGGCTATCAGTGACGGCTGTGACTAACTAAGAAATCTCACTCATATTACTCGTAAAATCTGTGGCTTGCTGAGTGACTTAGTCAGAAAGCACCTCAATCCGAAATAACCACCTTTTAAAGAAACGGCAGCTTTTAATGATGCAAGCAGAAATCCCTGGCACTTTAGAGAAAAGCATTACTAAGGGCTACTTGCTAAGACAAGCAGTCCACTTATGTAATCGAGAGGTAGGAAGCGATGATTCTGTTGCTTTAAATGATATGTGAGCTCAGGGAATGAGCCGCAGCAGGATTGGGGATGTGTGGGGAGAGGAGAAGTCAGAGAAAGCACTGCATACAATGTCTGTAAAGAAAATGTTTTATTTAAGGTGTTAAATACCATCACCGGAATGAATTTGATTTACAGTAGTTGGTGTTCATTATAGGACTAACCTGCCCTTTTTTTTTCCCCCAACTGGAATTCCCTTTACTTTTAAAACATACTATGTACAGGGCAGCAACGGTCACTGGCGTAATGCTATTTACATGATTAAACCACAAGTCGAGGTGCAGACATGTGAAAATTAAAAAAAATACACCAACTTTTAAATAAATACTGCATAATGACAAGTATGTACAAATATTCCATACAGTCATGTCCTTCTTCTTAAAATTAGAGATAATTTGTATAGGAATATGCACAAAAGATTATATGACTGCCTTTTAGTATCAGGAAAATGGTAAATGATTATTCTAAGGGATAGTATAGACTCTATAGGTCTATTAAATCAATTGTTGCTGGTAAACAGGTATCTAAATTACTTCATTAATGTTTTATTCGTTCTTTTAACAACTTTACCTGGGTCCATCACAGATCTCACAATCTCAAGACACAGTCTTGGTGTATTTCATATTGCACCACATAAGGAGAAGGCATTTTTAGTGATACTCATTTTAACTTTTGCACCCTTTCAAGCATGATGGTTTTTAATGGTCAGCACTGAACTTAAAAAAACAAACAAAGAAAATAATTTTTGTGTATGGTCTTAAATTTAAACACATGGGATGTATGTGGATTTCATGAGCTATTGCAAGAAATTAAAGTCAATCTATAAGAATGTGTTATCAAAGTGTACATAAAAAGGGCCGGCCCAGTGGCGCACTGGATAGTGCGCCGCTTAGGAGGCGCGGCGGCGCTGCCGCCCGAGGGTTCGGATCCCACATACAGACCGGCTCCCGCTCACTGGCTGAGCGAGGCGTGGGAGCAACACCGAGGTTTGCAATCCCGTTGCCGGTCCCTGGTCCGGTACGGGGGCAACACTGAGGGTTGCGATCCGTTGCCGGACACGGAACAAAAAGACAAAAGACAAAAAAAAAAAAAAAAAGAACTGCTGATTTATTAATTAATGTATAAACTGCTGATTTTGAATAAGCCTTTTAGATATGGTTAAGAATAACTGAAGCACAAAGCTTCTTCTTCAGGTTGCACGTAGACATTTTTGTTCCCAGGTTGTAATCAGTAAACAATGATTGTGATTCTTGTGTTCTGTGAGAAAAGGACAACTTCACTTGGAACTTTCCTCCTCCCTTTTGAAACCTCCTTTTGAAACTCCCTTTAAAAAAAAAAAAAAAAAAAAAAAAAAAAAAAAAAAAAAAAAAAAGTGTACATAAAAAAACAGAAAGTATGGGTGCTTTATTAGATTAACCAGTGGCTTGTCCTCTAAATAGGGGAACTTAAGAGAAATGTGACCTTGCAGCACCACCCAATGGTAATAACTGTCCATAAAAATCAAAGGCAGGGGTTTTGATTTTAGAGGATTTTCACATAGACTTTTGGTGATGGCATCAAAGAACTATTAATAGACATATCGACTTTCTTTGAGTCACCTAAAAATTGGAGCTTTAAAATTGTTGTTGGAAATTTATGTTTACTATATTTTTTTAGAAATATAATTTGTGAAAAATTGAATTTTACTACAGAAAAATGAATTAATAAACAGCCCTGTGTTTCAGGGCTCCAAATTTTTAGCAGTGTTTGTATTCACATAGTAAATGGAAATTGGCTGAAGAAATTGCTTTAACTAATTAAAAAACAAACAAAACCTAAGACCTTCTACAAATAATACTTTAACCCCTGTGTCAATAATGCTGGTGCTAAAAACAAATTTATTAGACATTATAATGGCCACATGATTTTAGGATTCTCTTGTAAACTGAATTTTGAAGGTGAAAAAAATTACCATGCACTGTACAGTAAATTGCAAAAGTTCAAATATCTTCTTTGTCAAATACATGCTGACTTACTTTAATGTACTCCCAAGCCATGTTGCAAAATCCTTTTCAACATGCTTGAAATAAAGAAAGCTCTTAAATAGTTTTTTTCCCTTGAGAAATTCATCAATTCAGAAGCATTAATAGCTCTGAATTAAACATGGGGTATTAGAGAGGATATGATCGAAAACTTGAAATTTTTTAGTTTAAGGTTCACTCTGGTAGGGAGAAAGAAAATAAAAGATTAAAAGAGGGAGAAGAAGAAAAGTGAAATAGAGAAGAGGAAGAAAGATGTGAAAAATTTGCACATAAGACTTCATAAGATTTGTATAATTAACATGGAAATAAATTGAATATATTATACTTATTGTCACATAAAGAGAATTTTAAGTATCTTCTAGAAAGTATTTTCATTGTAATGTCTGCCAAAACACAGACTATAATTAAAGAATAGACATGGTGTGTCTTTGTATCACCTTGTTGCATTCTCTCCCCTTTTTAAAACCATGCACTAGTGAAATTTATTTTTAAAAATAATATAAATTGTTGAAAATGGCTGATTTTTATTTTTATTTTTTTGCAAGTTGCAGCCCCAAGAAAATAATTTAAGTATTCAGCTAATCTGTGTCCATGCAAAAAAAGTTTCTTTAATTTCATTCAGTACAGTGTAGCCACGGAATTTTGTTTTTCAGAGTCCAACACATCTTGGAATTAGTACATGACATGCCTGCTGGAGCTACGAAGTCTGCCACGCTGCGGGCTGGACCAACTGCTCCTGATCACCATCCACGGGGAGGCTAATGCTTTGTTCCTGACCACTTTTTTGATCTCCTGCTTCTCACCTGATGCTTCCTGGGACTTCACTTCTTGACCTGTCACATGGCTTAATGGCTGTATAGCTCCATTTCTGTGGCTTTAACAGGGCTTTGGGATCAGATAAATGAAGGAAAAGAAACCATAAAAATATAAAGGTGCCATTGAAAAGGGCTTTTGTTGCATGAAACTGACTGATTCTTTGAGATTAATCCATGGCTTCAGATTGGACCGAAAGTCGAGTGTCACTTAACTTCAAACCTGATAGTTCTTCATAGCTCTGCTGTTTCACCTGAGGACCTTCTTTAGGGCACAATGTGTGCAACTTCCTCTGAGAACACAGGATCGCTTTGTATCCCTAGAAACAGGCTCAGAAGACACGACATTAAGCATGCAGTGTTACCAGGGTTTGCGACCTGTGATTTTTTTTGTAACGCTGGTTGCCATGAGGACAGTTTTACAGCTGCTATGAGCGAGAGTAAGAAGGTCCGGTTGAACTTTCCAGAGATGACTGGGAAGCTCTTCTTGTCAGAGGGGCCAATGTTGGATCTACTAAGGAGGAAGGGGGAAAAAGTTTGAACCATCCGATCACCATATTGGATAGTTCCAGTTCATCTAAAAGTATCTGAGCCACTCCCATAAAGGATTTGTGATCCATGCGGCCATAATCTCCCCAGACAATGATCTGTTGGCAAAATGAAAAGAAAAGTCAGTATACTCATGTACATAACAAAAAACTTGTAAAATACATTAAAATACTAAAATACATTCAATTAATGTTCTGTCCTCAAAGATCAAGTTAAATAATTGTATTTGATTAATAGGGTAGTTGTCTTTAATTACAAGAATCCAAAGGTACATTAGGAAAACTGTACTGAAGTGTTAAGATCATAAGCAGTTCGGGGGGACTGGAGTTCATGTGTGATGGGGGGTTGCAAGTTTATAATTCACTTTAAAGGAAATGACAATGTATATGGCTCTATAGCACTGGCCCAACTGCTTTGAAGTTACCAAAGAATTTCAACTGTGAGAAACAGAAAAGAATGTGATAAAAAAATTGGGGGCACAAAGTCTGACTCCATGAAAAGACTTTTTAGGGTAAGGGATAAACAAGCAAATACCTGTAAAACCTTTCCTTGGGGACTCTCTTCAAAGGATAACAGCTGTTGGTAAAGGGGTTCCAGTGTTTTTCTTGCCACTTTTGTTTTCTTTTTGGCTATGCAGACTCCGTTATCTAACAGATACACCTTTACATATGGTGCTTGGGAAAGAAAATATACAGGAGAATAAGTGATAAGCTGTGGCTATGGAATGCCCAACCCACGAATGACAACCTCAACAGCTTAATCTTTGGTGGAAAGAGCTAGCAGTCAAAAGCCACTGGTCTTCCCACATGACATCAAAATCATTAGATAAACAATGGAAAATTGACATCCATTCAGAGAATTTTAGGGGATGTTGACTCAGACTCAGCCTCTGAGTTTAATATTACTCTGCCATCAACTGGTTACACAGATTTAAACATTGCATCAAATAAGGTAAAATACTTCTAGCCCCCAACAACATTCAAGAGTGATGTCTTAGTCAGGCTTTAACTTATCAATCCTTAAACCTAATTAAACATGCTTGATGCTATACTGTTTTACTCACCCATCCCCATGAATCACTTATCACTGAAAAGCATTTATTTATTGGTGGTAATGTGGTTATAAGACAGGGGTTGGGTTTAATGTGATATGTTCACATTAGCTGGGAAGAGGCAACCCATTATGAATTCCATGGCTTAAAATTTACCTGACAGACACTTCATAAAAACCATTTTCATGCATGCACAAATCATGATATTCTTTATAGCACAGTGAGTTGACTAGCTCGAAGACCTTTACAAATACAAATGTCTTAATAGCCATTGCAAGGTTGTACAATAGGTAATATATATTACAATCTACAATTTCTGCAAGGATAGAGAAGTTAAGAGATTCAAAATTACAAGTCAGTCAGTGGAGGTGCTGAGGCTAGAAACCAAGTTTCAGAATCCTCAGCAATTGTTTTATATATCTGATCAGACAACCACTGCACAATGTATTTGGAGTTACTGTGGAATTTTCTACATTTCGAGTACCTAGATTGTAATGACATTTCAGTATGAAATAGGTAGCATAAAAAGTTATCATAGTGCCTCTCTTTCCTTACGTAGTACAGGAAATAAAAGTCCTATAATTAGAATATCCAGCATACGTAGGCTTACGCTACTTTGGGGGCCTACATCTATCTTTATTCTTATTTCAGAGCTCTAAGAATTCCTAAGGAGAATTTTGACACTCCAGATAAACTGAAGAATAACACAAAACATCAGTTAACAAGAAAAAAGAACTTCTTATGTACATGTTGTAACAAAATTAATTATCTAAATGTGGTGATTTTTATTTTGCAGTGGTTTCTAACATATGTTAGAAACACTTAACAACTTATATTATCCCCACCGGATCACCCTCACCGAACACTCATTCAGGATAAACATACATACTACTACAGTCCCAAACCAGTCAGAAAATTGACACATCTATTAGTATCCTTGATTAACTAAAAATAAAGCTTTCAGAATCTAATCAAAAACAAAGTTTTTCAGTACAAACAGTATGGGTTATTGACAATAATAAAAAAATCTCTTCTGTGTTTACCTGGCAGTGTCTTGGAACCTGGTTTTACAACAAGGCCACGGGCCCGAATAATTTCCACCTCCAACTGTCCCTTTTTGTCCATCATTCCTACCTGAATGTCACCTAATGGTATGTGGAGAAAAACAAACATGCCTTAATATATAAATGCATGCTTTTATAAAAGAAGAATGCTTGTGCAAAAGACCTTAGCTTAACATCATTTCATTATTTCCCATATATTTTCTTAAATTCAAATATATTTAAAATTTTATCAATGATGTCTTCCTTTAAAAAATAGAAAAAAATTTAAAAATTTATTGTTAAAATCTAAGATTCTTTATTCCAGCTGATAATATTGTTAAAGAGTCTATGAAATTTACAAAACTTATTTTTCAATAATCTAAAAAGAAAAACAATGAAACCATGTGACAGAAATTCTTACCCATTGCAGGGGTAGCCAGAGTCTGACGTCCCACTAGCTGAGCAGGGCCAAGACCATCCAGAAAATCACTGAACTGGCTATCAGAGGCCAAGCGAACACCAGGAAAAATCAGACTGAAAGCAAAATAACATGGGATTAAAGCCTCAACCTCTATTTACTTTCAGGCAAGCTTAAGTTTCCTTCTAGCCTTTTTAATGTGATGGGATAGTTGGTACCACTATTTTGCCACTTATCTTTATTGAATCCCAATGCGCCATCCCACAACCCACAGTCCTTCCTCCATATTCTCAAGTAGCCTATGTATGCCACCAGAAGCACTTCTCACACTGCGCTTCTGATTATGTCTTTCTCTTCCTTGGTCTGGAGGGTGGGGACTGTGGTTTCTATGAATAACATACAGTACACATTTAGCACATATTCCATATTTAGCATATTTAATCCTTTTGGCTGCACTATGAGATAGATTCTATTATTTATCCCGTTTTATAGAAGAAGAAACACTTCTGAGTCATTCCCATCAGTACATAAACATGTTGTTATCTCTTCCACCTTAGAAAAATAATCCCTGTCCTGACCTTACTGCCCTCTCCAGTTACTACCACAAGTCTCCTTGAAAAAGTTGTTTCTGTGTGCTGTCTTCAATTTCCTTCCTCTAATTCTCTCTTGAAACTCAAATCAGTTTTCCATTTTCATCACTCCATCATAATTTATCTGATGAAAGTTAACTAATGACTGCAGAAGTAAATCCAACCATTAATACTCAGCACTTACCTGACCTAACAGATGAGCAGCATCTGACACAAGTGATCCCTCCCTCTTCCTTAAAACACTTTTCATTTTGTTTCCTGGAGTCTCTAGTCTCCCGAATTTCCTCTTTTCTGCTACTCCACCTTAATATCCTTTGCTAGTTCTCCACTAAATACTGAAGCTTGATCCTTTAACCTCTTATCTTTTCTATTTGTCTAAATTCTCTTGGTGATCTCATTCAGCCTCATGACTTTTTTTTGTTTTGTTTGTTTGTTTGTTTGCTTTTTGACCAGTAAGGTAAGGGGATCGCAACCTTTGGCTCGGTGTGGTCTGCACCACACTCAGCCAGTGAGCGCACCGGCCATCCCTATATAGGATCCGAACTCGCAGCCTCGGCACTGCCAGCGCCATACTCTCCTGAGTGAGCCACGGGGCCGGCACTAACCTCATGATTTTAAATACTGTCTATGCTGCTATTAACTAGATTGAAATCTCCAGCTTGGATCTCTCCCTTGGGTCACAGACCTGTATTCCAACTGCTTAGTCCACATATCTGCTTGGAAGTCTAATAGGTTCCTGAAACTCAACTTGTGCAAAACTGGTCACCCATCCCCCACCCCAAACAAACAGACAAACAAACAAAAAACCAAACTCTGGTCCTCTCAGAGGATTTCTATCTCAATAAATAGCAACTTCACTCTTCCAACTGCTCAACTTTGGAATCACCCTTCTTTCTTCATCTCTGTTATGGACTGAGTGAGTGTGTCTCCCCCAAATTCATATGCTGAAGCCCTAATCCCTAATGTGACTGTATTTGGAGACAGAGCCTTTAAAGAGATACAGTTAAATAAAATGAGGTCATAAGGGTGGGGCCCTAGCCCAATATGACTGGTGTCCTTATAAGAAGAAAAAGAGACACAAGTGGTATGAATGCACAGAGAAAAGGCTGTAAGAGGACCCAAGATGAAGGCGGCCATCTGCAAGCCAAGGAGAGAGGCCTCAGGAGAAACCAGACCTACTGACACTTTGACTTAGACTTCTAGCCTTCAGAACTGTGAGAAATATATTTCTGCTGTGTAGGCCACCCAGCCTGCAGTACCTTGTTATGGCAGATCTAGCAAACTAATATGCTCTGTCATTATCCACATCAAATGCAGCAATATATCTTATTTACTATACTGTCAAAACACATCCAGAATTTGACCTCACTAATGCTACCACTCTGGTCCAAGCCCGATACAACTACCTTCTCTATGACTGCAACAGCCTTCTGAATGGTCTCCTTGCTGCTGACCTTGCTGGCTCTGCCCTCCACCCTCACAGCAGTCAGACCATTCTGCAAAAACTGAAGTCAGATCATGTCAGTCCTCTGCTCAAAACCCTCCAATGATTTCTCATCCCACTCAGAGTAAAAGCAAAATTCTTACAATATGTGAAGACCATATGAGCTGTTGAAACCCACCCCCCATACCTTGATCCCTAGTCTGTTACCACTCTTGCCCTTAGCCCACCGTGCTACCCTTCTCACTGCTGACCACAGGTAAGCTCCTGCCTCAGGGCCTCAGCATTGTTACAGCCTGGAATGTTCTTCCCTCAAATACCCATCTACTCATTAACTTCCTTCAGACCTTTACTCAAAGGCATCCTTTTCCTTATCTACCCTACATAAAACCCTACCCCCACCCTCTATCATCTCTCTGCCTTGCTTTGTTTTTCTCCTTAGCACTTATATTACCCAATGTACTATATATTTTACAAAATTTTCTTGCACACAAATTTTAAAAATTTTTCTTATTTATTGTCTATCTTCTCTATTAGACTGTAAGCTTGATGGGGGTAGAGATTTTTTTATTTTATTTTTTTATCTGTTTTATTCACTGCTGTATCTCTAGCAATTAGAACCATGCCTGGAATATTGTAAGCACTCAGTAAATACCTGTTAAGCTCAACTAATTTAAATAAAGCTTAGAGAAATTAAATAACGTGCCCAAGGTTCCATAACACAACACAACAAAACAAAACAAAAACAGATGAGAACCTACACATATATGATTCCAAAGCCCCATAATCTTAACCACTGACATTGACTCGCTTGTATGACCTATGTCCCCACCCATAGCACAGTGACTGGAACATAGGAAGGTATGGTACTATTTGTTAAATGAATTTATGAGTATTCATTCCATTTCTCCAATAAGACTATAAACATCTGGAGTAGTAGCCATAGTTTAAACATTTTCACAACAGCACCTAACGTAGTGCTAGACAATGCTCAGTGCACACTTATTTTCACTTATTTCATCTATTTTTAGACTTCTTTGATGAACATAAATTCTATTTCTTCCCCCCACCTCAATTCTCAAATATTCAGGTAGTACAAATGTTTTAGTCTGTTTCCATAACTACCCCATATAACCTATTTATATATATATAGAAACCACATATCTCTTGTATTTATGTAATTGTGCTAGACAAATTATTCTTAGAGCATATATTAATACTATGCCAACAGCTCCTATGGCCTCACATTTGTGAACTTACTGCACATATATTGTCCAAACATTTAATGCTTCTATTGTGATGACAGAGTGAGGTCAGTAAATCTCACTTTCCTCTATTAATGTCCTTTACAGCCCCATTTACAGATCTGTAGTTGCTAATTACTGCTAATTTGTTGGTGACAGGGCTCGACAATCTTTACAAATACTTTAAAAATATCTCAGAGACAGCTGATTCACAGGAATCATCATAACCACATAAAGAAAAGGCTCACCAACTTTTTTGGTGGCACTTCTTTTTGGCTATCACATTTAATATAATTAAGTTATATTAAATAACTATAGTTGTTACTGCATGGAACTAAGTATGTAAAAATATTCCATATTTTTTAGTAATAACATTTAGAACAAAGATTTTAAAAATTAGCATTGTTCATATAATGTGGCATGAGTGCTTATTATTTTTGTGCTTTTATATATGACAAGGTAGGGCAAAATATTTTATTTGCATGTATTGTGAGCATCACATTTTAGCATCTTGCCATTAAAGCAAAGCACTTTATCTCCAAATCTATTTCTCTTGATATAAAAAGCCAGATATGTCACATTGCTCAGTGGCAGGTAAGCAAAGTTCTCTTCACAGGAAATCAGGCAGTGAATATTAAAATGGCGCTCTAGGGCATGTGAGTTTGCTTTTGTGAAGCACCAAGATCCAAGACCAAGAAGATGGTCTCCTGCAAGGCATGGAAGAGACACACATCCCAGCGCCTCACTCACTTTCCTTCTGAGCTATAGCTGTTCATGCTGCCATCTGTAGATTCCCGGCTTGCCTGTCGAGTCATCCAGTTCCTCATCTCCACTGCCAGACCTGTTTCTGTACTTCTCTGGACAGTACTCCGCAATTTTTTACCTCCTGCTTCTGCAGAGACAGAAAACAAAACGTGTAACATTTTTGTTATCACTGTCTGGTAAAAAAAAAAAAAATCAGCCAAAGCTCCAAGATCCTCAGATGACAAGAACTGCATAAATACAAAGGCTCTTATTAAGGAGATCGAGAGAAAAGGTATTTAAAAAAATTTTAAGCAATGTCTTATTGGGTGGGATGAAAATTTTCTAAAAAAATCTTTAAGAAGCACAAAATATCATTGTTTTTTTCCATTTAAAACAGTGTTTAAACTGTTAACAGAAGAAACAAAAAGATTCAACCTAAGGAAAATAAAATACGCTTTCTTTTCATTATGATATTTAAACGCCAGATTACTTTATGCCCACTTTTTTCCCCACTTTCTGTTCATCATAGTAAAAGAATTAGACCTTCATAGTATTTTCAAAGAATAGATGGTGAGTGATCCTCAATTCTAGCCTCAACTTTTACAAGAAAATTTGTTTTTGTAGGTTGATAGACATGAGATGAGAAGGCAAAGAAAGCTATACAAAGGAGACAGCCCTGTTTGACAATAGTTTCATATCTGTTAGTAACTTTCAGAAATATTATCAAAGGGAAATGCAAAAGCCCGGCAATATCATGTGAAAAGAGCTTTTTAGTTTTTGGTCATGGATAGTCATGTCCTCACGGATCCTCAACAGTGTGAAGATGACATTTACTTACAAAAGCCAATTAGAAATACCATAGATATGACAGAGGTAGAAAATGTTATCTGGAAAGGTCGGAGAAGAAGGGGTTTCCCAGAGGGAGTGGGATTTGAGCTGGGCTTGAAAAATGGGCAGACTGGGACTCAAGGAGAGGGAAGAAGAGAGTGTCTTTGGTGAGGGAAACAGGACAGACAAAGGTGGAAAGGTAGACATGGCCTTGTGCATTTACGGGAGATGCAATGAGCAAAACACATGAAGGAGAGATGGGGGAGTGGGTTAGATAAGAAACTGAGCCCAAATTACAAAGGGCCTTGAATGCTGTAATGTGGAGATGAGAGATTATCAAAGTTGGAGCAACAGGGTGAGAGTCCAAATTACTGGTATTCATTTATTTCTTGACAGGTCTAAGTATTTATCCACATTGACTGTGCACATTGTTAGCTTTTTGGGAAAACAAAAACAAAAACAAAAACAAAAAACCATAAGGTAAACTCTTTTAGGGCCTGCTGTTAATAAATCCTTTTTAGATCTACAAATATTTGCAGATATTGCCAGTGACTTGTTGACATCTCTTTTTACCAAACCTGTTATATTTATTCACCATTTTGAAACTCTGCTTTAACTCTCATCCATGCTCCACTTCCAATTTCAATATACATCAAAATGTTTTAAAGAGTATATACAAAATAAAAATTATGACTGATCTACAATTCAGTTCCACAGTCTAAGGCTGATATTTTAGATACTTGATACTAAACATGTTGTACTGATATGAACTGTAAGAAAATATATAGCATACCCCATTCATGGTGGAAAGCTCTTCTTTACAGAGGAATGTTAGTTAATAAATGTAAAAGGAATCACAAAATTTAAAAATTACCAATTTGCATCCTCCAGTGAAAGAATGATTTAAACAAGGCTCATTAATAGAAGCTAACACCATTAGATGAACCATTGGGAAAAGGACATTCATATGCACCAAATAATCATTCCATAAATTGTTAAAGAAAAAAAATGCACTCTTTTTCTTTAACAATTTGTGGAAACCTGGCTGACACCCTCCTAATCAGTGATCAAATTTATTAGCACTGGGAGGCCTGGCTGACACCATCTTAATCAAGTTGTTTGGAAAATAGAATGGTTTGGTCAGGACCCTCACCTCAGGTCCGGCTGGGTGTGGTTCAGCACATCCTTTGTAAGCAAATTGTGCGTGTGCGTGCGTGTGTGTGGAGTTAGTGCACATGCACACCAATATATATTTTTAGTTTTCTTGCTATTCTTGTGTTCTTCAGAGAGTAGTTTTAGTGAAGCAGGCTGGCGGGCATCTGCCTCGGGCATCCACCACACCTGGCCATGCTTTCCAACCTACGGCTTCCAGGGATCTTTTTGGCCAGTTACTTAGCTCATAGACCTGCGTGTGTGGGGTCTGGTGACTCAGCCTGGCCTATGTTGGGCCTGGGGACCCAGTCTGGCATGTGAAGGGTTTGTGACCCAGTCTGGACAATGGGCTTGAGGGGTCTGTGAGCTCCAGACCCAGCCCTAGCTCAACAATTGTCCCAGTCAGTGCAGGATTACTGGCAGGTAAAAGAGCATAACAACTAGCATGGTCATGTAGCTAGACAACTGGCACATGAACAGGATAAGAGCACTACAATTGGCTACGTCAGCAGGATTCTGACATTAGCTGGAGTGCCGCACCAGTGATCACGTTATTAGCACTAATAGTGTGGCAGTCACTTGTACCTCCTAATATGAAATACACAGTATCACCTATGAAGTTGTTCCAAACGAAAATATATAACCTATTTCTCATTAGGTTTTTGGAACCAACTTCTAGTTTTCAAAATTAAAGGGGGATAGAGTAATAAGATAATGGACACATACACACAACAACAATCAGACAAACCCAGAATATGTGGCTTCATTTCTTAAAAAAGTAAACATCATGAAAACAGGCAAACAAGCAAACAAGGTAAGGAAATTGTGCTAGATTGAAAAATATCAAAAAGATGTAACTATTAAATGCTATGAATGTACTCTGACCTCTTGTTTGGGAAAACAAAACAAAAGAAAACAAGAAACCCTACAAGCAAAACAGTATAAAAGCAATTTTTGGACAAGTAGAGAAAATTTGAATATGTGTTGAATATTAGATGGGATCAGGAAATTGTTAATTTTTGTAGGGGATAATAGCATGTACAATAAAGTATTTCTTTATCATTAGGAGATACATGCTAAAGTATTTAGACCTGAAATGTTATATTGTCTGCAATTTACTTTCAAATGGTGAAGCAAAAAATACATGTATATATAAAACAAAGAGGGAAAATGCTAAAAAAAAAAAAAGGATGAGGATGCAAAATAGACCTTGGTATTCATTAATAAATTATAACTTTATATTTATAATTTTATTTGAAAGTGATCCTCAAATGACTATATCAAGAAGCAGTAAAATTTTGTCCATGTGTGAATTAGAATCATGGACGATGCTAGGCTGGTCTAAGAGAGCCAAGCCAAGGGCTGAGCCCCTGCCTCCCCATGTAGCTTTAATATTTGTTCACTTCCTGTGAACAACGCCCTTGTGAAAAATTCCATCAAGTAAGACATACAACTTCAGTGAAGTCTGAAAATGTGGAATGAGGATATGTATAGGAAACATATCACTTGCAAAGGAAATGAGATTCCTAAAGATCTCAGAACACAGCCTCTGCAATGTCAAAGATCTGTGTTTTATTTAACACCTGACTCTATCATCCGCAAACAGGGACAGTTCGACTTCACTTTTCTAATCTGGATGCCCTTTATTTCCTTCTCTTCTCTGACTGCTCTGGCTAATACTTCCAGCACCATGTTGAATGGGAGTGGTGAGAGTGGGCATCCTTGTCTAGTTCCTATTCTGTTCAGGATGATATTGGCAGTGGGCTTATCATATATGGCTTTAATTGTGTTGAGATACTTTCCATCTATACCTAACTTGTAGAGAGTCTTCATCATGAACAAATGTTGAATTCTGCCAAATGCTTTTTCAGTGTCTATAGAGATGATCATCTGGTTTTTGTCTTTGCTTTCATTGATGTGGTATATCACATTTATTGATTTGTGTATGTTGAACCAACCTTGCACCCCTGGGATTAATCCCACTTGATCATGGTATAAAATTTTGTGTATGTGTTGCTGTATTCTGTTAGCTAGTATTTTATTGAGGATTTTTGCATCTATGTTCATCAAGGATATTGGCCTGCAGTTTTCTATTTTTGATGTATCTTTGTCTGGTTTTGGTATCAGGGTGATGTTTACCTCATAGAATGAGTTTGGGAGAATGGCCTCTGTTTCAATCTTTTGGAATGGTTTGCAGAGAACTGGTATCAGTTCCTCTTTGAAGGTTTGGTAGAACTCTGTAGTGAACCTGTCCAGTCCTGGGCTTTTCTTTGTTGGGAGCCTTCTCATAACAGCTTCAATCTCTTTTATTGTTATTGGTCTGTTGAGATTTTCTATATCATCTTGGCTCAGTTTTGGTAGTTTGTATGTGTCCAGAAACTTATTCCTTCCTCCAGATTTTCAAATATGTTGGTATATAGTCGTTTATAGTAGTCTCTAATGTTCCTTGTATTTCTGAGGTATCATTTGTAATATCACCTTTTTTATTTCTAATTTTTGTTATTTGAGTCTCTTCTTAGTTAGCCTTGCTAAAGGTTTCTCAATTTTATTTATCTTTCAAAAACCAACTTTTTGTTTAATTGATCTTTCATATCATTTTTTGGGTTTCTATTTCATTTAGTTCTGCTTTGATCTTAATTATTTCTTTCCATCTACTATTTGGGTTTGGATTGTTCTTGTTTTTCTAGTTCTTTAGGGTTGTGTATTTGCCATCTTTCCATTCTTCTGAAGTAAGCATTTAATGCAATAAATTTCCCCCTTAGTACTGCTTTTGCAGTATCCCACAGGTTTTGGCCTAAAGTCTCTACAAAAAAACCTCTTAGAGTTGATAAATGACTTCAGAAAAGTTGCAGGATACAAAATCAACACACAAAAATCTCTAGCATTTCTATACTCCAACAGTGAACACGCAGAAAAAGATATCAAGAAAGCTAGTCCATTTAGAATAGCCACCAAAAAAAAATAAAATACTTAGGAATAAAGTTAACCAAGGATGTGAAAAATCTCTATGAAGAGAACTACAAACCACTGTTGAGAGAAATTAAAGACGACACCAGAAGTGGGAAAGATATCCCATGTTCTTGGATTGGAAGAATTAACACTGTGAAAATGTCCCAATTACCCAAAGTGATTCAATGAAATCCCCATGAAAATTGCAATGACATTTTT